TATTCAGATACATAGATGATAGATTCATAGTCATAGTAGCAAAACTTATACATATGAGTTCCTTAATTCTTAGACAACTTATATGAATGATTCTAGATATTTTGAAAAGTTACATAAAATTTAAGACCAATGCATTTTTATAGTGGGTATAAAAAAAGTTTTCTAGCTCAAATTGTAAGATCTATCTATTTCCCAAATAAATAAGAGCCACTTCATCTCTTGTGGTACACATAGCCCATCCTTTTGCCACAGGATATGGTGGTATACTTTACAGGATAGTTTCACGAAAAACACCAAACAGCTGAGTCACTGAGTAGCCAACAAAAACAACGAAAAAAACTACTAAACTAAGAAGCAAAGAACCACAACTTAACATGCAAATACCGCACCATCATGCCATCCAACAGAACGAATCCCATGAGGCCATTGCGACCACTAAAACCAGGGAAAACTAGCTCGTTAAGTGCAGAAGGAGACACTCACTCACTCACACACACACACACACACACACACACACACACACACACTCTCACATTCAGTCACACAACAATGGAAAAAGTTCGAAGCAAAGAAGCAGAGAGACACACACACGGAAAACCACTTGTCTCTCGCCCCGGAAAAACCTCGCCCAAAACACAAGTTTTGGTTCATTCCTGTGTGTGTGTATGTGTGTGTGTGTGTGTTGCCATGCGAACGTGAATTTTATACAATAAATTATGTAAGGCACAAAAAATGCGAGTGAAAAGTAAAGGAAGCTAAAGGAAAGTAACGAAAATTTCCACTTGAAAATATCCATACTCATCTGCAGAGCGAGAGCGAGAGAGAGGGGTTGTGTTTTCCCAAATTAGATTTTTAATTGAACAGCCACAAATCCAAAGGCTTAACGATGGACTCTTCTGGCTGACACCATAATAGAAATTGCACCAAAAAAAATGCAAAATTAGCATAAATATTTGAGAGTGTCAGGCTAAAAATAAAAACATAAATTAAAATAGCACACACACAAAAGAGTCCTCGGGGCATCAGCAAAGCCAAAGCCATTTTATGCTCCTCCTTTCTGTTTGCCCTCTTCTGTGACGTAAGTAAAGAAGAAAATCTGATTTCTAAGGCTTTTTCCTTTTGGCGCACTTACAGGGGCTCTCAAACTGTGAGGACCCAGCAGCAGCAGCAGCACTGCATAGCAGCAAGCTTTTGACAGTAATTGTGGCGCAGGGCGCAGACGCAGAGAATGGAAACAGGATAGGGGCAGGTTTTGGGTTGGTTTGAGGCTGCATGTCGGTGGCTTTTGGGGGGCAAGAGCAAGGAATATATTTGCCCGTAAATTAACTGAAGGGAAAATCTATTGGTGGAACATTTTTAAGGAATATTTCTCGAAATTTATGGCACAATATTAATCAGTAGAAAAAAATTAAGCAATGAATTATACTGTTTCGAAAAGATATTTAAAAAGACTTCCCAAGTTTTGTTCTTTATCATAAATCACCAAAGTCATTTATTTCAACCCATTTCCCAGTTATATATTCCTCACTCTCGTACCCTACTATTTCCCAGATCATTCTTCCATTCATTTAATTACAAAAATTCACATGTGCGCAGGCAGACAGGCAAGGAAATATTTAAAAACCATTAATCAAAATGCTTTTCTCACGCCTTACACTATATGTAGTACATTTCCTCTACGACATTTTCCCACGTTTCGGAATCCAAACGGCGTCTACGGAGCAATCTTCGAAGCAATCCATTTGATTAATGGCCTGATAAATTATCGCGATGCCAATGTCAGATGTATTTTCGCCTTTGCTCTGCTTGGCTTTGCTCTGCTCACACCATAATTTATTTTGTGTGGATAACAATTTTGCGAGTGTCACATGAGCGTATGAGGCGTATGAGCAATGTGAATGAGTATCTAACAAATGGCTGGCTGTACAAATGTCAGGGGTCAACCGAAACAGAGGCCTAAAAATATGCAAAAAAGACAGGAAAACTCGGGAAAGAGAGAACGCAAAGCCACATAAAGAGAGGTAGAGAGAGAGCGAAAGATACAATTGGGAAATGGGTGGAAGGAGGGTAAGCAGGGGAAGGGGGAAAAAGTAACCTATGCTCCGGAAGTGACCTTTCAATCACTCTTAATTACAAACCAAACACTCGGGGAAAATGGCAAAATGACAGGCCAACCAAACGGACAAAAGAGGAGAAAAATAAAAATAGAGTGCGGATAAATGGAAATTGGTGGCGCGGGTGGCAGGCGCAAGAAAATGTCAAGAGTCGTGCGTGTTGCTAGCAACAACAACTACAACAACTAAAACTTCTATTGAACTTTGGAATTGGAATTAGAGAAAGGTTGAGGCAGGGTAGGGGCAGGACAGGACAGGACAGGCAAAGTGCCCTTCTGCAGCTGTCTTTTATCGTGGCCCATATACTAAATCCATCCGTCCATCCATCGTCTTGCCAATTAGCCAGGAACTTTGCAGATGCCCTTTACGAGTACCTTTCTACCCGGATTGCCGGGATTGGCACTAATTGCCCTTGAAGGTTTGCAGACAAGTTGCTTGAAAGCCGAAGGTTAATGAAAGCAAAGATGTGATTAAGAATGTCTCTTAATTAAAGCTTCAGAGAACATTCGTTGTATACTCCGTTGAAACATTTGAAGTGTGTTTTGTTTTTATAAACACATATTCTCCAGAGATAATTGGACTCTCTCTCTCTCTCTCTGCCACAAAATGAGTAACAATTTTTGAATAAAAACTTTCTACACTAAAACCAGTTTGAGCACCAGTTTTCCCTCGTCACACCATTCGAACTTTTCTCATTAGCTGCCGCTTTTGGGTGTCAGGTGCACGAGCAAATCCGCTCTGACGCTCTTTGACTCTGCTAGGTGCCATTTTTGTGCAAAAGTTTCTAATTAGACTTTAATGAAATAAAACTCGATTAAATTTCCACCCAAGGAATGGCAACAAAAGGTCCGTCGAAACTGTCATAAAATGTGACAGACGGTGGGCGAAAAATTCTGCCGCTTTTGTCCAGGATGTGTGGCGGCAGTGGCGGAAAGTTTTGACATTCCAAAGTCAGACCAGCAAGCTCGTGCTAGGCAAAAGTGCATTAAAAGCCACAAAGACCTGCAAAGAGAAGAAAAGGAAAGGGCCACAAGCTGAGAATGTGCTGAAAAAAGGATTAGGGAAGGCAGAAACTATACAGAATTTAAAGAAATTTAAAGATAAATTATTCTCAGAGGATTTATTTTAAAAGTAAACAGACTTGTAGTATTTTATTTGCCATTTTATATTATAAATTGATAATATTCTCAGAGGATTTATTTTGAAAGTAAGCAGTAGTATTGTAGTATTGTAGAATTTTATTTGCCATTTTATATTAGAAATTGATAAAATATTAAGCCTGTCGAACAGATTGCACCACAAATGATATCCCTGCCACTCACACAATCCCATTACTACCAATCCCATTACAAGGAGAAGGCGTGGCAAGGACAATAACCATTTCCAGCAGCAAACAGTGCAAACAGCAGCGGCAAATAGAGAGAGAGTGGGGCAAACGAGAAGGAAATTGTAATCAAAAGTCCTCCATTTGATACAGAATACCCGTCCGTACACACATATAACTAAGTGTAACCATTAGAAAAGCTGTTAGCCATCTCCATCCGCTCTGCTGTCTCCCTGGTTCTCCATCTGTGGGTGTGTGGGTTGGGTTATTCGTATTTTAGTTGCCATTTTGGTAGGCAAAAAAAAAAAAACCATTCAAGGCGTTGACAAAAATAGTCATAAAAGCAAAAAGAAAAACTTTCACCACAGAATCGCAGCAGCAAACAATTTTCCTTTTATGCTCAGACATACATATATGTATTTGTGGAGGGTATATATACTCGTATCTGTGTTTGTGTGTGTGAGCTTATGTACTACTGTTTGCTGGTTGGTTACACAATCCCCAGACATGGTATTTTATATATACTTCATACTCGGAGAAAAGCCAAGTGGCTTTTCCTCTGCTGATTTGTTGCCTATTAAGAGCTGCAGGCGAATATCTGTGTGGCATCTTTTAGGCGCAGCTCGTAAATGGTGTAGCATCTGTGTGCGTGTGTGTGTGTCCGCTTTGAAAGTGTATGTGGCTGTGGCTTAGTAACTTAGTTGTTGTTAAGCTTAAGACCTGTTTAAGCTGGTTTAACATATAACTAACTTTCAGGCGAAGTTACACAAGCTTGATTGTGCAATATGGCACACATTTCAGAGTTTCGGCGGGCAAATATTTATTTATATTTTTTTAATTATATATTTACGAATATAAAAATCCCAAAAAGGTGTTTATAATTTTGTATAGAAATAATTAAAATATTTTTATAAATATAAAACATTTAAATGCAAAGATCTCCTTTAATATTGGAATATATTTCCACCATTTTGTCGCACAATTTTCCGCTACTTCCTGCGTTATATTTAAACTGCAAATGTATCCCTAATAGCAAAGGACATTTTGTGTACAATTAAAGCTCATCAAATATGCAAAGCTTAACAGAGAGACAGCCGCACAGATGCATATTACAGCCCCCACACAGATACATCCCACATACACGTACACACACAGACATTAAAGTTTTAAAGAGACATCAACCCGTCTGTTGGGGTTCTTTTGCTTCGTGGAGGATGCTGTCATTAAATTTTAATTAGAAGGAAAAGAACGCTCGCTCGCTCGCCTCGCTCGAATTTCCATTTGTGTTGTGTTTTGCATATAAATTACTTGGGGCACATGCACACGCGGCATGGCGCCTCCAAAAGTGTACGCCACCATTTTGTGAACATAAAAACAACTTAATTACTTTTTTTTTTGAAAGCCGAAGCGCGCAGCTTTGGCCATCAGAAATGATTTATTCCATAGACGTAGGATATTTTTGGGTGGGTCAAACCTTAGCCTAGCATTTTGATTGATGTTCCAAACAGATGATGTTCCTGTACTAATTTTCGTTTTACGTTTTTCTCTTTCTGTCTTTATAGCAAAAATTCTACTATTCTATATAATATTTTATGCGGCGTTAACTGGATTCTTTGCTGCCATATTTGCGGTGTTCTATCAAACATTGGACAATGAGAAGCCCAAATGGATGCTTGACAATGGTTTGATTGGAGCCAATCCAGGTTAGTACACACCCTCTAAGCCATAACAAAAAATTTTGATAAAGGTTCGCCAAACAATGGATAAGATAAACTCATTGAAATTCCATGGCGTAGAAAGCAAACAAATTTCGTTTAAATAAATCAAACATACGCCCTTGTATCCTTATAAATTTGCCTATCATATGAATTATAATCGACGCAGACACGTTCCATGCACAGATGGATGGATAGGCCGCGCCCCAAGGGCACACCCATATATAATATAAATACATATACTCGTATGTGTACATATACATATATTATGTATATCCGACCACACATGTGTGTGGTTACACACGCATCTGGAATTTCAATGAGCCTTCGACTAAAACCGTAGTTAAGAACTAAATAAAACACCAAAATTTAATTAACTAATTGGATGTGAAGCACATAAAAAGACTCTTGTTGATGGAGATGGATGTGGGGTGGACAGCAAATCAATTGGCTATTCATTTAATCACGAAAACTCTTTTTATTGTGTGTGTTTCTTTAGGTCTTGGCTTCCGACCAATGCCCCCAGAGGCGAATGTTGAGAGCACTTTAGTCTGGTACGAATCATCGAAGAAAGATAACTACCAGTACTGGGTCGATGAAACTGCACGATTTCTGAAATGTAAGTAAGCCCCTCCTGCAGCTGAGCTGAGTGAAAACTTTTACCCAGAAAACTTTTTAATTGTTCGATGGACAAACACGAACTGGTCTATTCTATCCGCTCAAAAGAAATACACAAACCGAAAGAAAACTGAAACCTTTAAGTTTTTGATTGCACGGGGAAAAAGTTTTTCCACAGAAAATCCAATTTCAATATCCCTTGTTTAACTTAAATATATATATATTTTCAATGTTTTGATTTTTGGTAACCAATAAAAGCTCACAGTAAGTGAAATTCTATTTTCATCCAGTAAAATGTTGCGCTACATTTGCTCAAAAAAGTATGCCAGGACCCCAATTTATGTGTGCACCTTTTTCATGGCATTATATTACAACAAAACTTGCTTGTGTTCCTTAGCTTACGAGGACGAGGATAAACAGAACCATGTAAACTGCTCCTTCGAGCATCCCCCACCAGAGGGCAAGGTGTGCGGTGTTGAGGCCTCCAGCTTTGCTCCCTGCACAATTGAGCATAACTTTGGCTATCATGTGGCCCGGCCCTGCATATTCCTCAAGTTGAATAAGGTATGTGCTCTACACTCCACACTTATTCTAGACATTTGCAGAACTTAAGGATTCCTTTATAGATTTACAACTGGATACCAGAGATTTACAACGACTCAAAAACTTTGCCCGACCACATGCCCGAGGAGTTGAAGCAGCACATCAAGGAGAAGCAACAGCTGCGACCAAATGAGGTGAAATTTATTTATAGGCAGAAAAGTATCTATTCCGCTTGATGGATAATAACTCTCCCTGTATCTGATTTTCAGACTGGCGTCGTTTGGGTATCCTGCGAGGGTGAAAATCCCGCCGATGTTGAGAACATTAAGGCTCGCGATTACTATCCGCGCATGGGTTTCCCACGTTTCTATTTCCCCTTCAAAAATATAGCCGGCTATATACCGCCCATTGTCGCTGTACAGTTCACTGTCGAAAGTAAGTACAATTTTCACATTTTTTTCTATACTTATGTTTCTAGCATCGGTTCATTACAAAAGGGATTGTTCCGATAATTTTAGAGTTTAGAGAAAGGATCATTGGAATCCATTTAGCAAAGTCATCAACCATTTAATTTTAGTTAAAGGGATATTTTAAATCCATTTAGCAAAGACATGAATCGTTTATGTGGATCGCAGCGAGACAATTTATCCAAGACAACAACAGCCAAACATTTTAAATAAATTTCCTTGAAGATTTAAAGGGATATTTGGAATGCATTTATTAAAGACATTAACCATGGATCGCATTAACTCTCTCTTAAGGGACTTTTCTCTTTGCTTAATTTCCTTGCAGACTTACCGCCATTTCTTTTGTTTACATTTCTGCCGCTTTATTTTGTAAATGAAGCAAAAATTGATAGAAATAGAAAATCAGAGGGTGAAATCGGCTGGACCGATTAATATGCACTGTAAACTTACATAAATAGTGCCGCAGAGCACTCCAATGCACTTTTTAGACTCCACTTTAAGGCTAAGCGCGGGTACAATTCTCTACTGTTCTGTTGCGTGCTGTGTCAAGCCCTGTACACGGATTTTTATCACCTTTCGTACTCGCGTCGCTCCATTAAAGGTTTCCGCACCTAAAACTAATTTAACTAATTAAAGCCACGTTTAAAAAACGAATTTACCAAACTTTTCGGGCTTTGGTCCTCGCGCACGCCGAGAATTGGAGATCATTAACCCGATATGCGCACACTGGAAGGGACTTCCATTATCGGACTGGAAAGCGCTTCCCATTATCGCTTATCGTTTCCATTATCGGATATCGTTTTTGAATATTCAAATTGATTAAAGGAAACGTTTCCGTGCCTACAAAGATAATAATTTCTTGATTAGCGAGATTACTTAACTGAGTATTCGGTATGCAAGTTTACTTTGTGGTATAAGTAATTTATATTAGCCATAAATTAAGCAAAAAAAATCTCCATTTAGTGTCCGCACAGTTCTTAGCCCAGAGAGCCATTCATTATGCTTAAGTGGGGTAAGGAATGGCATTATATTACCTTGTCCAGCTGATTAAAGCCAACTAATGAGAAAAGCCATTAATTAAAACTAATTGACAGCAGTAAACGCAGGGCTAAGTAAACATTATACTGAGAATAAGGTACGACGAGTATTCCTTCGAAGCAGTGAGGGTGGGAGGAAGCCCTTTATGCACTGAAAGGCAAACCGGAAAGGAGAAGCAAACAAAACCAAGCCACAATCCATATAGCATGAAAAATGGGGCAAAAGTGTTTGGAATTTTAATCAAACTCAGACGGAGGAGACCCACTCTGGGTCGTCGTCGTCGTCGTTGTCCCTACGGAACCTCCTGGCATACAGAAACCCAATTTTACGGCACAATAAACATTAATAATGCTTTTGTCTGTGGCAAAGGAGTAGGTATACTCGTGGCAGAAAAGAAATAGACGGACGGAAGCATATCAAATGGGGGAATAGAAATAGGGAAGGGAATGGGAATAGGAATGCATAGAAATGCGTAGGGGAAGGAAAAGCATTTCCCTCGTTTTTCCTTTTGTTTTCAATACAAACAATTTCTAAGCCATTAATCCGCTTATGGAATGCGTTCCTTGGCAAATGGGTTACAAATAATTGAAGATGGAATACGAATTGAGAGCACAGCGCAAAATTTGCCGGAAATGCTGCTGAAGCCAACAGTGCGTATGGAGTGTCCGTTACAAGGAATAAATTGTATAACCAAACTAGGCCGAACCTTAAGCTGATTTTCATTTAGTTCTTGCCATTACGCCCACAATTTTCCTGCAAAAACTTCCATTGCCTGCGTCGCATTGCGGCCAACAATTTTGCAAATGTGAAATTCAATATTAAATTAGTTATGTAAGCGGAAAATTGCCTTGCATGTGTACCAGTCAGCAGGGGGCGTTGGGCGTGGTCCTCGAAATGGAGGCAGGCAGGCTCACTTGGGGTCTTTATATAGCCAGAAAAAAATGTTACAAAATACAAAAAAAAATACACACACACACACAGACAGACAGAGATAGAGAGAGAGAAAATGGAAAAAGTTGTATAATGTAAATTGTGTGCGGGCGCAAGGATTGAACTTTTCACAGGAGTCGAATGTGTGTGTGTGTGTGGGAGTGTGTCTGAATATATCGTACGAGTATATTTGAATAATGACAGCTGAAATGGCAGCAGATAGAGCGCCATGAATAGGTGCCATTTACATATATGCGGAAAAAACTACTAGAAAAATATTATGAAAATCTTTTGTTTGTTGAAATAAATGCTGGAAAGGGGAGTTTCGGTTTTTCACATACTTATTTGATTGCATAACTTAAACCACATTCATTTTCCCGCTGCAATAACTGTAGGCCATAAAAACTTTGACCACTTTTTGCACACTTTAATTTCGAGCGGAATGGAGGGGGAAGCCTTAAGAAAGTTTAGCTTTAGCTTCTTATTACATTGTTCGCTCACTCTCTTGTGCATACAATTTATTTCGTTTTCTGTCACTTGATGGCAGCGGCAACACTTCCGTTTCCGCTCAAGTAACAGCCCCGCGGCAGACTCCAGCAGCCCTCTGCCTCTCTGGCATTTCTTGCATTCAAAATGAGATAATAAAGCCCTGGACCAAGCAACAACGAAAGGAACCATAAAGAGAGCTACACAAGATTTTCAATTTACTCAAAGTTCCAGTGGCAAGTGGGACAGTGGGAGGGGAAAAATGATGCCAGCGGACAATGCTGAAAGGGATAAACGATGGGCAAGGGCTCTTATTTGTGCAGAATAATGTTCGAGTATATATAGTATCCGTGCACCCTTGTATAATATTCATATAATGTGCAAACGATTGTACATAATTTGCATTTAACGTAAAAATAATGAGATTATTTGGAATGCGACAAAGGAACGAGGAAAGCGCACTCTGTGAGGTCTTTATTTTTCCTTATTATTTCTCTGTTTATTTTCCAACATTATATACTACTTTTAAAATCTCTATACATATACCTGAATGATCCAACTAATTTATACCCTTACTCTCCATATTTCTCTGCTTACAGCCGGCGTCTTGATCAACATTGAGTGCAAAGCCTGGGCCCGCAACATTAACCACGATCGCTCGGACAGGAGAGGATCCGTCCACTTCGAGTTGATGGTCGACTAAGAGATGCGTTAATCATCTTGGAGCAGCGGCGTAGACAGCAGCGCAGAAAGCAATGAAGAAAAGCGAATAAGGAGACGGACGGGAAAGTGTTTTGAGAAAGAGAAATAGAAGCAACAAGAAGAACAACAAACCATACACACACACACAAAGCAAAAGCAAAAGAAAATGATAATGAAAATGAAAAAGCAAGAAAAGAGAGAGCAAAATGTAGCAGCAAAGCGTAAGCGAAAAGTTTAACAAGTACAGCAACAACCAAAGAGAACACTAAAAAATGCTACAAGAACAAAAGAAAAACCTTTAACAAAAAAAAAAAAGAAATACAAAAACCTAGCGCTAAAAGAAAAGCAAAAACCAAATGGAAAAAAAACCCAAGAGAAACAAAAACCAAAAAGATAAAAAACAACCTACCCAACGCTAAAAAGAACGCCCCCACACATACACATACACAGATATACCACACACATACACACACACACCACACACACTCGAATACAAAAGAAAAACCCTTAATTTGTTAGGAAAATTTTTATTTAGTTAACAATTTAGGCGAAAAATGGAAAAGCAAATAAAAACAAAATAATTGGCAGGCCACATAATTTAGCGCAAAATATTCTATTATCATTAATAAATAATGACAAAACTTAAATAAAGATAAAAAAATTGTTGTTAACAAATTCTTCTTGGTTTTTTGGTGTAATTTTTAACAAAAACAAAAAATGAAAGGAAACAACAAAATAAACGACAAACAGCGAAACTTAAAAAAATAACAGAGCAGAGCAGCAACTGTACTTAAAAGAAACCAAAAACAAAACAAAAACAAAAACAAAAAAGAAACTTATTTAAACAAAAGTGCATAAAAACAATTATTTATATTTATAACAATTAAATATATATATATATACACTATATATATAAAGAAATTGTACAATTGGAAGACATATATACTTAAAGAGCAAGAAGAGCCCCCATCCACCAACCACCAAATATAATTTGTTTCACCACCAACATGAACAAATAGCAAAGGCGAACAATTGTTTAAATACGAAATTTATAAGGCAAACCCCGAAACATAAAGTGTAGATTTTTAAATAAACGAATATAAAAATGGAAAACCCTTGAATAATAAGAGAAAAACTGCAACCCAGGCGCGGCATAGTTAATAAACAATAAATAAATTAAAACAACCAAAAAGAAAAAATGCATAAATGAATGGCAAACCAAAAAAAGGCAAAAACCAAGACATATTTAAAATTAATACTCTTCACTTATTATTGAAAACAAAAGAAAAGAAAAGAAAAAAACAAAGCAAGAAGGAAAACCAACCCAAACCAGCCCAAGATCATTAATGTGAAAATTGCATGGAAGACAGACAGAAGCGGCAGCAAACGATTATTGAGGCAAGCAAAATAGCAAACAGATAAACGAGAAATAGCTGAAAAGTAAAAGTACAGAGTAACTGGTTACAATAACAATGAAGAGCATATAAAATTAAAAATATATTATGTATACAACAACCAAAAAGCAAAACCAAAACAACCCCAGAAATAATAATAAAAACGAAACTTAATTCAAACTAAATAAAAAACCAAAACCGTTTCCATCTCCACGATATGTTTTACAGCTGAGGGCACAAGCATAGTAGCATGATGCTAGGGGAGGCTTTTTCTTTCGGACAGCACTTGAGAAACGACAGCGAAATCGCCACAAAAAACCAACCCACAGAAAACACACTACTCTACTTTTGATTTACAGCCGAACCGAACCGAACCGAACAGTTGACTCGAAGTGAATAAAAGAAAAATACATAGTATGTGTGTAGGCCTCAACTAAACTTGCTAACCAATCGCGCTCTATTTTCCCAAATAATTAAACAAAGAAAAACATTAAAAAAAATAAAACAAAAACAAAAAACAAAACTCTTAATGGCATACCAAAAGCTTAATAAACTAACCCCCTTTTTCCATCCACTTTAACTAGTGTAATTTCTAAGCAGAAGAGAAGACGAAGGGCAGGCAGTCAGGAGGCAGAAGGCAGGATGTCGAGGCAGTTTATCCGATAAAATGCTATGCCGAACAAGTACACGATGAATGCCGATGAGAAATCAATAAATAATAGTTTAATGGGAAATGTTATACATAAATATATATTTAAAATATATGTATTATTAAAAAGGGTGGACAAGACGATGTATTAGCCTCTACTTTCATGAAAGAAACTTGAAATGTAAATGAAAGCGGCTTAAGAAATTGCAACAAATAAAAGAAACTAAATTATGCCCCAAAAATGAACTAGAGAGGAGAAAAACATTTCCACAGCTTTCTACAATTTCACGATTTCCAATTAACTGTTGAAAAACTTTTCCCAAGGTTCCATTTCATTCCTCTCTGGTTCTGGTAAAGTGCATTTCATTGGCAAAATCCCCATTTGTTTTAGTTATTAAAAGTATATATTTTTAACGAAATTCTTAAAAACAAAAAAAAAAAAAACGAAGACGACACGCAAAATTGTTTAAACATATAACAAACCAAAAAATAAATAGTTTTCTAAAATTTTTGCTAGTGCATGTTTTCCTATGACTAAGCTAAATTAATTATGAAAAAACAAAACGAAACAGAAAAAGAAAATGAAGATAATTAGTTAAGTAGTCTAATCAAATGCCAGCAGCAGAGGTTGTCACTAAACACACACGCAGACACACACAACAGATTCCTGTTGGGAGATCTTTCACCTTATTACGAGTATATTATTCACATTCAATACCCGGCAATTGCAGACAGAGCTTCAATTAAAGATATACGAGTATATAAATATTGTATTTAAAGGGCCCCTCGCCCACCACCCCATAGCTATGCGATCCTTAGTTCTATTAGAAGAATTTCACGCACAAAATTTTGACTTGAAGACGATTGATTTACATTCTTTGGTTTGATTTGGTTGTCCCCGGCAATGTGTGTTCCCAAAACCGCCGATAAATATTAATAGGTTATCTAGGGTAAAATAAAAGAAAATACAACTTATAAAATTATAATAATAGTAACGAATAAAACCAAAAGATAAGTACATGAAAAAACTGCCAAGTAAATGTTTCACCCTCTAGCTTAATAAATTGGCTTGAAAATGTTTCGAAACGACCTTCCTTGTTTTTTTTTTGTTTGGTTCAGTTCCAGTTCCAGCTGTCCGGCAATTGCCAGGGGAAAATGTTTCGGATCCAAATCCATAAATTGGGGGGGGAAAAATGTGAAAACCCTTTGCAGACTTTGCTCACATCGATAGGCGGCAACTACTAGCACACAATTTAAATGAATTATATTTAACAAGCATATATATAAACTGCCATTTTTTAAAAATAAAAAAATAAAAAATATAAAAAACAAAAACCAAAAAGCCAACAAAAAAACGACATTTTTTGTGTGTAAACCGACAAACTGCGATCAAAAACAAACACCAAAAGGCAACAACAATAAATGTTCAACATATTTCACACAAGTTTTTAACGATAGTTTGAATAACTTCACCTAAATCATATATAGACAAATTCTTGTTCGACTTTCGCTGAATGAAAATGATACAACAACAAAAACAAAAAAGTAAGAAAAGAAGAAAAGAAAAACCAAAAAATCAGGCCGCAATTCCAATTCCTTCTCGACTGGACCCTGGGGATCCAGTCGGCATTCCGAGAGTAGGCAAGATCCGTAAGGGTAAGGTTTGCACATTTTTCGGGTCTTCAGTTCAAGGGATCTCTCACAGAATGGTGCAACACACTGCGGCGCATATAGCAAAACGAAATGTGTAGTAAAATAAATAAATAAATATATATATATATATATATATGAAATATATAATTGTTTACAACTAATATGTTGACTTCATTTGCATTTGCATTTGGTTTTAGCAACTACACAAAAACAAATATTATGGCAAAATTAGCGGCATTAGAAAACATGATACGAAAATATAATATAAAACAAAATGGATGAACAGAAAGATTGCAAAATGAATACAAAAACATGGTGTATTTAAAATTAAGCTATCTAGAACTAAGGCAAATATAACATAAAGATATACATATATATATATAAATATATGAGAAATGTTATATACATAAATCGTAAATCGTAATTGAAATGAAATGAAGAAACAATGTAAAATTACATCTAAGTACGATTACAGTTTTTGATTTTTGATTTAAACCAACCGAACAACCAGAAATTTCAAACCACAATTGAAGAACAACCACAGCCCACAGGAGATTTCTTTAAACAAAAACGAAAAAGAAAAGAAAATCGCGCTTTACAGCCGGCTTACAAATTTTTGTTTTTGACAAATTGCCTAGTGAGAATATCTAGTATGAACTACATTATTATTATTAACGAAGCAAGTCCTGATACAATTATGTTTTAATTCAAGAAATGAAAAATGAAAATTCCTGCACCCGCGCAGAGATTAAACAATAAAACAAAAACTACATTTAGTTTACTTTTGAAATTCAATTCAAAATGAAAACCAAGAAAAACCTAACAGATTGCTTTAATTTAGGTTTAAAAATATTAAAAAATATAAATGAACAAAAAAAAAAAGAACAGACAAAACAAAAAAATTCTTCATAAAAATCATAGTAAAACTAAAAAAATGTGTGTAACAAGATGATGAAAAACAAACACTGCTTTTTGTATTATTTAAGTTTAACTATAAAAGTATAAATATTAAAAAGAAAAACCCAAAAAAAAAAAACAATAAAAAAACAAAAGCTGTAATATTAAAAAGAACTTACAAGAACAAGTAAATGAACATCAACAAACACAAGAAGGGATAGAAAATGCTGCATAAAACATTGAAGAAGATGAAAAATTATGAAAAACCAAAATGAAATGAAACGATGTCGTGTACGAGTAACGAAAAATGAGAAAAATGTTTGAAAAATTTTACTGAATTCAATAAAAATATTATGTTGATGGAATTAAGTAATTCCAAATAAACAAAAAACAAAAACCGGGTGCGTTGTTATTTTGAATATGGGTTTTGCAAGAGTTTTGCGTAGTTGGAGAGCTTTATCCGATGCTTTGATTTCCATATTATCGAAGTTGAATCAATATGGATCTTTTGTTGGTGCGACGGGCACAGTGCGCAGCAGCTCGCTGCAATTGGCACGCATCCTGCAGTATCTGGAGTGTCCGCAGTATTTGCGAAAGTACTTCTTTCCACTGCACAAGGACCTGAAGTACTTCCTCAGGACTGAGCACACATTTTTCAGTGCTGACCGGCATTCAATTTAACCTTACATTTTCTGTGGCACGACACAGACTGCCTTTATATTTATTTTATTTATAAATAAATATGTTGTTGTATGATATTTCCCGGTTTTGGTATAGGGGAAATTATATTATACTTTAAAGTCGAAACAGTCAAATGAAACTTTTGCATCGTCGCTATGGCCTGAAATTTACATAATATAATTCAAATAATTTTACATAGCATAGCTATTTTTATTACATTTTAATGCAATTAGGAATAATATAGTATATAGTAGTAGTATATTATATAGTATAGCAGAACAGAACACGTAATGCTATTTTATTTACTCTGCATCATCTAATCTGCAGAAATATTTTTCGTATTTCTCGTACGGACGCTTGTCGACAAGCTGAAGGCGTTCCTCCACGTGCACGCGAAAACATTTCATTTTAATCGACTCCTCCTGTATCAGTTTCGTCTCCTTCTGGAAGCACTCTTCCAGCATTTCCTTGCTGTTCGAAGCATTTCCCTTGATGATCGACCTGGCCAGTCGCGAACGGATTTGTTTGCATATTTGGTCGCTTTCGTAGTCCATGATATTTTTGTAGGCGCTAGGTAGGTATTGTATTGAGTAGGTATTGAGAGGCAGTGGAGGAACACTCTCAGTGGACAAACGTCTGCTTGTAGCCGCGACTGGCTCCTTATTTTTGCCAGCAGCACCCAAGCGGATAACCTTGGATGGTGGGACATCATCTGGGTCATCTGGGATGTCATCATAATCATCATCATCTGAGTCGGAAGTGTGCTCGTTTTGCCTCTTAGTTGCTGTGGCCTTTCTTTTGGTCGTTTTGGCATCTTCAGCTTTGCCAACTTTTTTTTCAAAATTTGTGGATTGTTCCTGAAGAATCGGAACATCTTCTTTTTGTATCTATTGGAAGGAATAGAATATAATATTATTGCACTGTAAACTTAACTTCACTTACTCAGCTCTGTCCTTGGCGGCCGCTTCCATGTAGGGAGCCTTGCGCTCCTTTGAAAGCCGCTGCCATTCCTCACGTTGCCTCACGTGCCAGCCAGGCGTCCTTGCATTTTTCGATCGTGAACAGCACATAGCCAGCCAATGGCAGTTTGGGGGCTCCAGGGGCTTTGATGCGGCGCCAAAAGAGTTTCTTGACATCTTGATCTATAGAAAAATGAATCAGTAAAACATTGTTCGAACAATGTTCGGTTCGTACTTACAAACTTCGTCGTCGTCGTCGCTGCTGTCGGAGCTGGAGACCGAGCTGCTGCTGGATTCCGAGTCCGACCCGGAGATTACGATAGGTTCGTCGTGCCATTCATGGACATTCATGATATGCCTTCTCATATCTTCTCTATGAGGGCTCTTATATGAACATTATGGACATGCGAAGTTTTTTTTCTTTTGCCCAAATTCACAGGAAAATTTTTCGTGCTCTGTAAAAGATCTTTTCAACATACAGTAATGGAAAAAATAATAGAAACGACAATTTTTTTCGCATTTTCAAATTTCTTCAGTCAAAATTTTTATTTTGTAAGTTTAATAATTTTGATTGATAGTCTATACAGCTATGTATCAAAACATAACAAAATAATAATTTAAATAAAATTAGTGTAGCAAAATAAATTTTTTCATTTTTAGGGCCTGGAAAAAATAATAGAAACGGCCGACTTAAAGCTTTGAAAAACCGTTTCTTAGCTTCAAAGGCTAGTAGGTTAACTTATAGCTACATATTTGGAAGTGACAAGGTGATTTTTAGTGACTTCGACCCATCTGCGACCCATGGAATCCACCAGTTCGTCACAAATGGTGGATCCATGGGAACCAATCGGACTTAACATTTTGACAAAAATCATTCCTATTTTGGTCCTTTAGCCACCAGTCCTTCATTAAGTCTCCTAAAGGTGATCTATAGGATTAAGGTCTGATATTCCATCAGGCCAATCCATCAGGGAAACTTCTTTGTCCAGGAACCATTTCTTGGTCAGCATTTAGGAGTGATTCGGGTCATTATCCTGATCGAACTACCACTTTAATGGTATTTCCTACTCAGAATTATACTGTCGAGTATATTTACATAGTCGGAGGCACACATTTTTTTCTATATCCAAAGTATTGGACCAATAATCGAATGGATAAAGCATCCCCACAACATTATGTGCCCACCACCATGCATACCCGCTTTAACAGAACACCTGGGTCTGGAGAAGTAGTATTAAGATGCCTAATATGAAGTTCCCCAACAAATATAAGCCCATTTACCTTAGTTTCATATGACTTTAACACATTTTTGTAACTTGGACGACATAAATGCACCTTCGCGAAATTTACTCGGTTTCTAAACTTTTTTTGGAAAGAAGTGTTATATTTTTTGAGCTATATGACCTTTTAAATTGACGTCAATCAGCCTATTCCTTATAGTACGACTACTAACCCGTTCTTTAAGATCATTTTTCAGATCTATCAACGAGAGAAAGGGATTTTTTTTGGATTTTCGAACAATGCGCCTGTCGAAATGAACCCATGTTGCGGGCTTTCATACGCGTGTGTCTCGTTATTTTGTGTAGTAAATCGAAGTAAACACTTTTTTAAAATCCATTTTAGATATTTGTGACCATCTGACCTTGTGTGGCCTTCAGTTTTTAGATTTAGGATATGTTTTTTTTTAATATCCCTACAATATACTCCAAGACCCATTCTGAACCGAATAATAACAACAACAAAAACGGAATCCTTAGGAATAGGTATTTCATATCTTCTTTTGTCTTTTGGCGATAATATATTACCTATATAATTCGATTTTAACCGTTTTATTACAATATAAGAACAAAATTGGAATGCGTTTCTATTATTTTTTCCAAGACAAAAACGTGATCTTCCTACAAATTAGTGTACCTAGCTTATAATTTTTACGAAAGGAGCCCAAAAGAGAATCCAAAGTAAACACCCATTATCCTGAAGCTAAGCACAGTTGTTTTTATTCAAACAATTTGCTCCAAAAATGAAATATTTGGTTTCAAATTTGAATGCGCATGCCGTTTCTATTATTTTTTCCATGACTGTAGTTCTTCGGCATCTTTCGCATCTTACGAAACCGGATTCCGGTTCGCTCTAGAAAATATAAATAAGTGAAAATATAAATATAATATATATATATATATATATATATATATATATATATAATATAATAAAATATATATGTTACATGTTACTTTACCTCGCTGGAACTTGCGGAAATGCTGGAAGCATGGCCATAAACTTCAACCCATGTTCTAAATGTAACGGGCAGGGCTTTGTTCCATGGACGCTCGTCCCATGGAGGTAGAGGAGGGCTGTCGGCTTTTGGTTGTTCTGGTTCATCTTCAGAATTCATATTCTCTTCTGGAAAAAGTAAACACTAAACAAAAACCGGCGCCGGTTTGCAGAAAAATGAGTGTGACCAGATAGGCAGATGAGATGATGCCAACTCGGTGGAAAAAGGATGGACGCAAAGTGCTCAAAATGAGCCATTTATAAATGGCTGACTTTGCGGGTAATTTTAAATTTACCTTAAAGTTTGTTCGCTCTAGAAAATAAAAACAAATGAAAATAAAATGATATGTAATCCAACAATATATGATATGTAGCTTGGCAGGTCAATTTAAAAATAAGATATATATATTTATTTTGTGCTCAATAATTTAGCCGCGCCGCTCATTTAGCTCAACTGAACGGCGTCGACGGCGGCCGGGGCCGGGGAGAATGCTTACTTTTCTTTCAAACAGAAACATTACGGCGACCAATTGTTAAAATTGCTGAGCGCTCTGATGTGAGAAACACTTTAGGAATTGTTCTGTGCAAGCTAAATATTGAATGCACTATCTCTCAAAGAAAAGTGATTGCAGATGTACAAAAAATTGGAAAAATTATAAATCCAACTGAAGCGCTTTTTGAACATTCAATGGAACAACACATTGGAATATTTTCAGAAATCTTCAGTAAAACTCCATGCTCAAACAATATTGTTGAAAAATGCATTAGGACTGATGCAAATTTGTTTAAGGCTTCCGATCCATGCTCTTCCCATAGACAACAAATCTTAGAGCACTTGATAAAAGTTTTTGTTTCTTATAACTCAATGGCTCAATGACAAACACTAAAAACTTAAAATTAGACATAAAGAGAAAAGAGAAAAATAAGAAAGAACAATGGATGAAGGAAGGGCAAATATATATTTTGAAAAGAATTGTCCATATGCCAAAAAAATAAAAGGCATAATAAACGATGGCTTCTGTGATTAAAAAATAATTAAAAAATGCTAAGCGTTACCCCTTTAATTTAAAAACTTACTCATAAGTTATGATAGCACCTGCAGTAATGTAGGCTGTCCGATTTACCATCTTTTTCTTTATTGAAAAAGTAAAGATCGCTGACGAGGAAGAGTGGTTTCTTCCGAAACAGACTTACATTTTTTACGGCTGAGAGGGCCAACTAGCTAGTAATTATATTTTTTGTTTTGTTATTTTATCGCTAAAGCGAATTGAGTGGTCGCACGACGATGAATCTGCAATGACCAGATACTTCATTTGGTATGTTAATATCGATTTTTTGTCGTGAAAACTTGCCAATCTTGCAGAAAATTTATGTATTTATCGGATAAAATTATTTGTTTAGGACTGAGAATCCCAGCTAGCTAGTAATATTAAACGGAATATCAAAATCGAGGAATATCAACGTTGAATGTTTTGAAAAAAACAATCGATACTATCGTGATAGCTCTAATAATTATTAAAAAACCATTGAAACCTTTTAGGAACTTGTCCATTGTAAAATTTAGATGCCACCTGTCGATTTGTTTACAAATGTGTCTTCGTATTTTATAGCAAACAATCCAAACATATCAAAAGCGCAACGACTGTAGCTCGATACTATCATGATAGTCTCAACACCATCGATAGTAGAGGCTAGCAGCAAAATATCGATAGTATCGATAGTGCCCTGGATGTTTTGACACCTCTATTTGACATCCAAAACAACAACTATATTATCGTGCCATTCGTTCGACATCCAAAAAGAAGAGCAGGAGCAAAGCAGAGCTAAAACTTAAATCTAACCATAAAACCCTAGAGCAGAGAAAGTTACAATATGTTCGCCCACAAATTGGTGCTGCTAGGCACAACATTGCTTTTGCTGAGCAGCGCAGGTGAGTCTGAAAAAGAAAACTACGTGAACTTAACACCCCACTCACCAGAAAACTGCGTCGCACTGGAAGCCTTTGTTCAATTTGCTTATTCATCGCGAATTATTTATATTTTTTTTGGTTTTGCTGTCTCGCTTGTACGCGCACGTAACCCGCTGTTTGTGTGTTGTTGTAGCTGCTTTTATCTGCGAAAGAGTTAAAAACAAACAGCGCTGGAATATAATTAAGCGATTTACTAGGCAAAAAAATGTGTTGTACCGTGTGTGTTTGCGTGTGTGTTTCAGTGTGCAATGTAAAAACTGCAAATGCTAGAATTATCTAGATTTATTAGCGATTTGGTCACCCTCCCCCTCTTTCTCCCCCTCTGCTCATAGTTCTTTCTTTTGCTCCTCTGACCTTAGTTTGTTCTTCGGAGACGGTTCCTCTCCACAAAATGGTGGCTTAGAACCGTTCCAAGCCAAAGGAGGGAATGCAGTCAACTCTGTCTTCACCCCCCCATCCCCCCTCCCACTGCGCGCTTATCCGGCTGCCTACCTGCATCCAAGGGAACAAGAGAAATATCATCCAGATAAAGCAATTTCATTGCACCCGCTCTTTCTCTCTTCTCTATCCTCTCTCTTGCGATGCAGGCATATTCAATTTCTCGTCTCATCTTGTGCTCTTTCTTCACTCGTCTTGCCCACCCCCTCTATTGTGCACTATATAATTATATTTGATTCACAGCAACAACTAAATTGTTATTTATTTGCTTAACTTTGCTTCATTGTTCTTCCCTTATCGCCGCGACGCCCTGCTTTGCTTCCGCCAATATGGGGGCGTTTTGCGATAGTGGTTACGCGTAAACTCCCTTCTAGCACTAATACCAATTGGTTCTCGTCTCGGATTTCCTGTGGTTTTTGTTATTTCTCAATTCTCGGACTTTTCCATTCCTAATCTGCTCTGCCTCATATATATTTGCATTCCATTCACCCCGCCTTATGTTGGCACATAGAAATCTGTTTAATAGTTTCGAATTGTCGTGGAAAACTCGGAATGCAACCGTCTCGGAGTCTCGAGCTGATAAGGTTTGCAGTCCCGGCCTCTTCTATATGTTTACGCTTTTGCATATTGTGCAAAACGTATTCCAAATAAAACTAGCCAGAGAAGCATATGGAACCAGTTGTGGATAGCTCCGCATTGATTCGTAACTGGAATGATATTTAGGAGGTGTTAAAAAGATTCATTTATCTCTCTTCGAAGTCCTCGTTTGGCCGCTAATCTCACTTTTGCGGTCAATGTGTCTTGCAGATTGCCTTGCATGAGATTGAAGCTTAGTTTTACTTTCTATGTTTTACTTTTCGTGCTTCCGACTTGTATCCCACATAACATTTCCGAGTTATAGGCCCTCACATATCGCCAATTAGTCCACTCCACACTCGTTTTGTATGCATTCTTTCCCATTTACTCTCTTCTTGCATGCCGTTGCGAAATAAATCTTATTACCACAAGCGATTTATTTTCCCATCGTTTTTCTCTGTATTACATGTCTGGGGCCGCGACACGCCCCATGCCAGGCTGTGTTGGGTCTGTCCGTCCGTCTGTTTGTCTGTCTGTCTTCTTTCCGTCTCTCTGTTTGCTTGCTTAACTTGCATTTAAAGGTCATCTCTCTGGACTGCATTACAAAATGGCATTGAACTAGAACAGGCCCCAAAAGGGCGAGGGGAGGACTGTAACCGCAGAAAGGACGGGAGTGGCCGCAGGGTTCAAAGCCAGATACCAGAACAGAACAAAATTTGCGTTAAAATATAATGAAATAAACTGCCTTTTGAACAACAATTATTCCATTAAGACAGCGATGAATCATGCCCCACCCAGCAACTACTACTAGATGTTCGACACTCCACTCCATTGTTTTTACAAAAACACATGACTGATGCCAAGGGAATGATCAACGGGCAGAGTCTGAAAGGGTATAGATAAAATTGTTGACTTGCATTCGGAGGGTTTCAGCTATCTGTCGCCGCAAAACAGGAAGAACAGTACATATGTATATTATTTAAAATATGTAAATGCACCCATTTATTTGTGATAAATTCTTTGGAATTTCGGTTCATGCCTGAGCACTCATTTAATCCAACAGTTTTTCGCTCGAATGTGTCCCCCCACATTTGCCTGTTTCCCTCTATTGGGTTGCTTGCATTTTTTCCCGTACCGCCCGACCTGCCCAATCGTGATACTTTCGTTATCAGTTTTATTGCTCCAAAGCTTCAATGAATTATTCATCGAGCGAAAAGTGAGTCACCCTGTTGACAATCCAGTAAAGGCTTGAATGGCGTAGCGAAACAACAACAAAGAAGATGCAATCCCAGCAAAACCTCATAATCAAGAGCTGGGTGGTCGTCTCGTCTCTGTGGGCCCCCGGAATTAACTTAAACACATAGCAATTGTATGCGCACTCTTGGGGAAAGCTAGGAACTGTTATAGTTCTTCAGTGCACAGGTACGAACAGTTGAATGAACTGTAGATACTCTTTAGAATACCTGAAACAAAGCACCGACTGATGTAAGCCGGTCCCTGTCTGCCACTCTTCTCCTGATCTTTTGTAGCAACAACAATAGCCAAGTTAAATATTAAAGCAGGCAACACATGCTGATAAGATAATTTGTAGACAAAGAACTTTAATATCAACCGTCTCTTATTGTATTTCCTACAGTTCACTCGCAAAGTTCTATTAGTTTGAAGGATGCCAATTTCGAGGAGGCACCAAAAACTCTGGAAACAACTTCAGAGAAGCCAAGCAGCAGCAGCAGCACCTCCACCTCAACAACCACCACTACAGCAGCACCCAAAACTTCGACGACGACCACTGAGAAGACAAGCAGCAGCTCTAGCAGCTCCACATCGACAACAACGACGACCAGCACTAGCACCAGCACCAGCACTGAACCACCAAAGACAACCACTACACCTGCGCCAGTGCCAACCACTACCCATGCACCGCAACCATATCCTGAGCCCAAGGTCGGCACATGGAATGCAACCTGCATTCTGCTCACCATGGCCGCCCAACTGAACTTTACCTATGAGACCAAGGGTGAGCATTTAATCCGTCTTCTAGTTATGCCTTGCTAATGGTTTCTCATTCTCTTTTAACAGAGGGAAAGATGGCACATGGCCTGTACAACATACCCTCGAATGCCACCATTGGAGATCATGTGTGCGACAGCCAGACGATTCAAAGTATTCAATTGAGCTGGGGACCCGCAACCTCTGTCCAATCGATGGTGATGCAGTTTGACAACAAGAATGCAACCACTGTGCTGTCCGCCATCCAAATCCATTTGTCTGTGCTCAGCGAGGACTTCCCCGATGCCAAGGGTAGGCAGTCCTCCATTCTGTATAGAGATGCATGTTTATAGTCCTTTTGTTTTTGCAGAGAACCAAACTCTTCAGCTGATTCATCGCGGCAGTGATGAATTTAAGACGCCCGAGAAGATGTCCTACCACTGCACACGCCCTCAGAAGCTAAACTTGACCGAGACTGTGGACTTGAAGCCAGAGATTGGATGGCTCAGCGTTAGCAACGTGCAGGTGGAGGCATTCCGTGGTGCAAATGCCGCCGGCTTCTCCACCGTACACGATTGTGATAGCTCGGAGACCTCGGATGTGGTGCCCATTGCTGTTGGCATTGCCCTGGCCGCCTTAATTCTGGTCGTTCTCATCTCGTATCTATGCGCACGCCGTCGCTCCAACTCGAGCGGCTACATGAGCTTCTAAGTAGGGAGTAGGAGGAATAGCACCCCCAGCAAATAGGGCACGTTGGAATGGGATTGAAACAGAGATCGAAAGAGAGCAAAAAGAGGACGAGAGATAGCAAAGCGTTTTGGTGTGTGTGTTTGAAATCAGAGAGAAAATTAAGATTGATTTTGATAGAAGATAATTGGAAGCCGTCGTCTGTGAGCATGTGAGGAGGAATGATCCATTTCTTGTTTCGTGAAAATTTCTGTTCAGTTTTGTATTTGTTTTCGTCTAAATCGTAGAACGCGCTCAAAAAGAGAATGAAAGTGGCAAGGAAAAGGGGAAAAAATGTAAAAGAATTCAATCGGAAGAAGCTCTGTGTAAATCTGTGTCTGTCCCCCATGTAATGTGTGTCCATAAATTGTCGTCTCCGTCTGTCCACCCTCCCCCTGAAATTTTAAACTTGCAATAGAAGCACACCACACACACACACACACACACACACACATTTTACTCAATATATCACGTAAAATTAATTAGCGTGTGTCACACTCCGAAAAAAAAAAGGTGAAAACGAGCAAAGGGGGGGTTCAACGCTATTGGCTGATGAAATTAATAGTTGATTATGGGGTCGAGCTATTTCCAACTAGAACGAACATCATTTTTAAATTTTGAACGTAATATTATCAAAATACACACACAACACACAGATTTATTGTATTATTGGCCTTGAAAGCGTAAATAAAAATAATATTTAAAACCAACATTGGAATCTATATGTTATATAAGTATTTATTTTGATATTTAAATGGGCAACAAACTTTCGGCATTCATTTCCGCATCATCATCGGAGTCGTCTTTGCTGTGCTGGCCACGATACATGCCAGTGCGTGGACGCTGTGCTGGTGGACCCAAAGGATCGAATTGTTGCACTGCCAAGCCAAAAATATATATTAAAGGGAGTAAACATAACATTTCCGAATGGTTAAATCACCTGCAAATGTGGCAGAACTTTGTCTGTATGCCATGGTACCAGAGAGATCGCTGTTCTCCTGCAGACGCTCCTCATTCGATGGTCGTATGGCTAGAAAAAGCAAAAAGGATTGTCAGGTAAGGAGGGTTCCTAGAGATCCCAGCAAGTTGCTTACTCCTCATGCGGCTGCTGCCTGATGTAGCCGATGATAGACGCTGCTGCTGGTATCGCTGCTCATTCTGTCGCTCCTGTTGCAGCTTGTGGAGTCGGGCATAGTCCAGCGAATACCGCTCATGGAGATCAGTGAGACCCAGGCTCTTGGTCACCTGCATCAGAGCACGCACACAGGTAAGGTTATCCGGAAATCGTGCATAGATCTTCTCGAACATGCCCAGATACTGCTTGGGCGGCAGATAAGAGTTGCGGAAGCAGCTGGCAATCCGCAGCATGAGATTGGGGTCATTGGGATCAGCGAGAACCGCTCGCTCGTAGTAGTAGAGCGCCTTCTCCGTGGCCTGCAGCTTGATGTAGTAGGAGCCAATGGAGCTGGCAATGCTGATGTCGCTCATATTGATGCGATACGCCTCGTTATAGTACTGATTGGCCTCCTGATGATCCTGTATCTGCTCGTACATGGAGCCCACCTTCTCAAACAGACGCGAATCGATGTCGGCGGCGGATATGCCCAGCACCTGCAGATACGCCTGCAGTGCTCCCGGCGTTGCGGTTGGCTTGAAGGCGCTCCCCACTAGCCCCGAGCCATTGCTGAGTCGACGTTCCTGCAACTTTGCCAGCTGATAGTAGACATGGCTATGCTGCACCGAATGGGGCACCATTAGCTGTGCTTTCAGCAGCTCAAACTGCTCCTCCGCCTGCTGATAGTCCTGCTGTGCGAGTGCCACCAAACCAAGATTATAGTTGGCCTCAAAGCTTGTGGGTTGCAGCTGCAAGGCTCGCTCCAAGCGCTCCCTGGCGGCGCTTAGGTTCTGCTTCTGCATATCCACAATGCCAGCATTGATCAGCGCCAAGGCATTTGTCTCCAGAGCTCCGATATCCTGCAGCTGATTCAGGCAATGCGAGGCCATATCCAGGTTGCCCAACTATGGTTTAACGATTGGGATTATTTAGACTATAAATCATTATAGGCATAACTTACGCTTATGTAAATGAAACTCAGATTTGTCAGTGCACTCGCTGTCATGGATCCCTCGCTCTTGCGATCATACATCTGCAGGGTTTCAATGGCCTGATTCACATCGTTCTGCCGCAAGTAAACCAAAGCTTTGTTTAGTTCGAGCTCATTGGCCAGCCAGGACAGATTCGAGGTCTTGATGATCTCAATGCACCAGTTGTAGCCTGGAAAATGTAAGAGTTTTGATACCTAAACACAGACTAGGCTCAGACCTAGACCACACTCACCGTCATTGTAGTTCTCCTCAATTATGGGTGATATTAGATCCACAATCATGGTAATGGAACGCTTTTCCGCATTCCTTTTTTGTTTGGTGTACTGAGCCAGCTCATCCGTTTTGAGCGCCTGCAGAACTGAACGATTCTTTGCCTTGGCAGAGGTATTAATGAACTCCTGCACCTTCTCGTAGGTGCTGCCACCCTCGGCATCGATTACGGCCACTTCGGCACCACCACTGGCCCCGCCATCTGTGGACTTTTGTAGATGATCCTGTACACCAGCGGCTTGGCCTGCCTGTTCGGCCTGCTGCTGCAGCTTGATTATATTGTTCTCACTCTCCAGATCGCTTTCACTCTCCACGGCCTGGACATCGCACAGATTGCGAAAGGCGCTCTTGATCTTCTCGACATCGCCCATGGCATAGTAGCAGAGCAGCAGATGGATGCCACTCTTGATGTCCGCCCGCTCCGACATGATGAACTCAAAGCTGGAGGCAGCGTCCGAATAGGAGCCCATGCGCACAAACAATACGCCAATATTCTCGGTGATCTTCAGACGCAATTGATTCAGATTCTTGGGCACCGAATCCAGGGCCATGCGATACATTTTGATGGCCTTCGGATATATGCCCATCTTATAGTAAATGTTACCCATATTCAGCTTCAGCTGATTGACATGGGGAAACATTTTGTTCTTTGTCATAATGCTGTACGTGTTGAGGGCCTCGATGTGCATATCACTGCGCTCGTATTGCTCAGCCAGATTGAAAAATACCTGAAAAAGGGACGCATATAGAGCAGACAGCAGTAAGGAGAGTTTCCAGAACTTACAGCATAAGTCAAATCAAAATTGTGATACACATTCTCGCCCTGCTGATCCCGAAAGCGATGCAGTGTTCGATCCAAGGAGAAGGCCTCCTTGGCCTTGTTTAATGCATCCGCCAGAGCGGATTTAATCTCCGCATTGATGTCGCCACTGGCACTGTGCGAGGCCAGGACAATCGATGCCTCCAGTAGCTTCACAATCTTTGCCTCTAGATTTTTGTACTTAATCTGTGGACTAAAACGCAAATTAATATTCAAATTCAAATTCAATACAAGAAACCAGCCTAAATCAACCTACTTGACTTCCTTGGCTGCATCGACGGCTGCATTGGCCGAGGATAGTGTCTGCTGTTTGGCCTTCTCCAGAAAGAACTGATCGAATCTTTGGCCAGCGGAGCCACTGCTGTTGGCCGCATAGCCCACGGCACGTACCGCCGTGGATGGTCTGGCCAGCGCAGTTTTATCCCCACCGCCGCCTGTTCGACTGCTAACCAGATTGCCGCGCTACAATGCGGAAGGGGAACATATATATAATCAGTTGAGATTTTTTCGGGCTTCGTTTGCTTACCGAAAAGAGCTGCGAAGTGGGTGGCCTGGGTCTGCCTGCGGCTGTTGGTGGTGGTGCTGGCACTACCTCGGATTCAGGCTTGGCTTCAACGGGTGCTGCACTCATTTTTATTGTCAATTATACAATACAGGGATTGCATTTGCTGTTAAAATTTCCGGCTGAAAAGGCACTCCTCGAATGAAAATAAAGCTAAGGACTGGCATTTGTTTGGGTTGACCGTTTCCAAGGTGATCCCAAAGCCAGCACAAGGTTGCCACCGTGCCCCATAAGGGTAGCAGAGTATCCGTTGGTGTTTGAATTAGAATTAATATGAATATAAGAATGATTAATAAATATATTAATGCCCTAAAATCATTGCTCCTCTTCCTGCACATCTGAAACCCAGCAGGTTTTTGTAAACCATTCAAAAGTACTTACAATACATTAAACACCTCAATCCAAGCCCGTAGCACTATGAATCCAATTTGTAGGATTGATATTAATCGGCCCGAGTGCCAGAAATGGATGGATGATGTGTACAAGAAATGTCGCGAGATCTTCAGCAGGGAAGTGGCCGCATCAGCCTGGTGGCATGACGCAACGCCCGCCATATACAAAGCGGATATACATGCCATGACCGCCTTGGATTGTCACAAGCTGAAGCGTGATCTGGCCAAAGAAGTGGCTGCCACAGGCGCTGGATCGCCGCAAGGCGCTGTCTTTCTTTGGTGGCACAAGGTGCTGCTAGTTGTGGCATATTTTGTGGTCTTTGGTGCGTTTATCTTCCTCTATCGGTGGGTCGATGCCAGCTGCCGTTCTGTGAAGATTGAAGAACTGCCCAAAGCCCAAAGCCAACCGGAGGAGGCGCCACCATCTCCTAAGGAGTCGCCAAAGCAGAAAAGGAATAAGAGAACGGTAAAGGGTTGGTTTCGTCGCCAGTGTCGCCACCTGTTTGTCCACAGCGAGGCGGAGTTGCGGCGCCAGAAGGCCAAGCGGGCGAGGGAGGAAAAAGTGCACGAGGAGCACACGCAGCGTAAGATCGAGAAGTGGACACATGCCCGGGAGCGGGAGGAGCAGAAAAGGAGGGACAGGGAGGAAAGAAAGAAATGACCAACGTCCTGAAGCACACGACACACACCACACCGCACGCATAGCTTTAATCTGTTCCGATCAATACAATCGTTTCTATTTGGCACTGGACAGCTTCATCTTTTTGCGCTTGTTTTGCTCACGTTCCAGCCACATATCCTCCCGATCCTCCTTTCTGCCCAGCCGCATGCTGGCGCGCTCCTCTTTCTGCACTTGATCAAAGTTGGCGTCCATGTGGCGCAAGTCCATGTCCGTCTCGTCCGAGAAGCGACGCTTGTCATAGCCAAAGATTCGCCGGATGTGCGATGACACCAGCTTGGAGCTAATTTCCTCTTCTTCCTCGACAATAAAGTCCCGCATCTCCTCCAACTCGTCCTCATCCTCCGATAAGTTGTGCTGCTCTTTAACGCGCTTAGGTTCAGTCTTTTTGCGCAGATATTTTGCGGGACCTGGCATCGGCAGTGTGTGGTTAATGGATCCGAAAAGTTGAGATATATCTGCATAATCCTTACCATAGTAGCCAAACTTCTCACGTTTCTTCACCTGCTCCATTCGGCTCCATTCCCTGCGTTCGCGTTCGGCGACTTCACGCTTCTGCTTGCTGGTCATCAGGCGACTCATTTTGATAAAAATAAAAACGGAAGGGTACGAACACAAAACTAAAAACTAAACTAACAATTATAAACTAATAAAATGAATACTTGATTTACATATATGTATGTGTGTGTGTGTGTGTGTGTGTGTGCAAGCGTAGGGTCGATTACAGTGTGGTATAAATTGTTCTAAAGAAAATATTCCAAAAGAGTCGCAGATCCAGCCAGGAGGATACAATCTATTTATTAATCAAATCAATTAATAGTTTAATCAGTTAAACTAATTAAATTAAACCGATTTCAACGATAAGTCGATAACAAAAATGGCGAATTTTTCATCCCTAAAACCTAACTAATTAATTGCTTAAATATGGTTCGAACGTGCGCTAGTGAAAATATATTCTACTCCATAAACGAATAATATTATTATTAATATATATTCTTTAATTCATAGAAAATCATTCGATTTAAAATGGCGATTAGTATGCCAAATAATCATAGCTTTGCAACACTAATCCCTGCGGCAGGCTTTGACAGCTCAGATCCATTTCCGGCATCTGGACTCGTTCTTTTTCTTCTTTTGCGGTCGTACAGCACGGACGTGTTTTTGGCTTATCGCAAGAAAATTGCAAATTTGCAATGAAATACTTGCATACATATATGCAGAATATATGGTAAGTATCAAATTTTAAACCATAGATATGCAGGAAATATACAAATACTAACGGAATTGCTAAAATTTATAGTGTAAATTAAATTAGAATGGCTTCAGCTACGCGCTTGCGCGCTTCACTTAATTCTCTGCGTATGTGTGATGAAAGGGAATATATTTCATTTAAAAATACACAAAATATAATATATTTATTGAAATATTATCCAAATACAAAAGAGGTACTTAAAAAGTTCATAATTTATAACAAACCAGCCAATTTACAGTGAGGATTACTAAATAATGAGTAGATTTAAAGTTTGATGGGAGGTTAGAACCGTTCACCACATCCTTGGCTTGTGACCAAAAGCAACCAATTTCATTTAATGCACATTCTGCATTGAAAAAGCAATCGAATACCGATTTGATTTACAAAGTCTATAATATTATGAACATTGTGCGAGTAATTATTATTTGAACACATCAAAATTGTAGATTTGGGCGTGTTTTTTTCTTTGCATGGAAATATTATCAAAACACAAAAGAGGTACTAAAAAAAATCAGTAATGTGTGCGAAACTATGAAAATAACCATAGGGATTACTTAAACCCAAGCGGATTAAATGGGAGACTTATTTTTTATTTTTTTTATTTATTATTATATTATTGTTTCTTCAACTCTGCGCGTGCGCTATCTGTTTATTTGTGCTAAAACAACATGGCGGTTTGCCCTTTTCTGATACCCTTTAGCGTAAACTTTCCAGCAAAAATATGAAAAGTGATGAAAAATAGTGGCACCGTCGACCCGCCTACAAGAGCTCTAAAGTCAAAGTTTTTATCATCTAATTCATGGTCGTGCTATGCAGCTATAGCCCTGTTTGCTGCAGAGCAAGATAGATGTGAGTCCACCACAAAGAATGATTAATTAAAGCCAACATTTTCAGTTTGTTACCAGGTCAGATTCGTGAAACGTTCCATTTTTAAGTCGTATCAGAGTTTTAACCTGGAAACTTTGCTTGAAAAATTCCTCCAGTTTTAAAAAGTACCAAAGGGGATTTGCAAATCGTTGCCTTTTTTAACTCGAGTTGCACTTCCCCTTTGGCAACTTAGCTGGAACATCTCTGCCAGAAAATAAATTTTATTTTGAAAATTATAAGTGATAGATCTGAGTACCAGATTCGATTCAGCTTTCAAGTTTGTTAGCACAACTCAGATCCTAGGAAGAAAGTTTGTGCATATTTTTCATATCGTGCTTTATGGCAAACAGAGGATTTATGTTATTTTCCAAATCATAAAGCTCTTGTATGCCATACAGCAAACATGTGAGCAGGCGACAAAGAACAATGAATGCGATCTAACGCCCAAATTTTAAGTTTGTTACCAGGTCAGATTTCTGAAACGTACGTTGCCTTTTTTATTTCGTATCATGATCTGTACCTGGCAACTTTACTTGAAAAATACCTCAGTTTATAAAATTAAGAAAATAATAATAAATGTAGCTGTATCGTATTCGATTCGGGTTCAATGTTGATTTCTATTTCATAATCTTGACCTTCGGCACACAAGGAAGTGTATTTTTCTCTCTTTGTTTGTATGACTACCCTTTTATCAATTCTACCTGCATTTGCTTCAGATTCCTCCGTTTAAAGAAGTAAGAAAATAATTTAAGCCTTAAACTTTAAAGTAAGAGTGAATACGGACTTAAACCTACATTTTCCGCTTGTTACCAGGTTAGATTTGCGAAACGTTGCCTTTTTAACTCGTATCGCAGGTTTTACCTGGAAACTTTGCTTGGAAAAATAACACGGAAATTAATTACTATCGCTCCCGAAATTAATAGTGATTAAGGTGATCAAAACTATCCCAATCTATTATCGGGAGTTTAATTTAAATTTCATTTGGTTGACCTTAGCCAGGGAAACCCTGCATGTGTGACTTTTTTTATCCATCTGCAGCCTTTTCCTGACTAAGATCAAGGTGAGTAATCGTCAAAGAAGTTATCAATTTTCCAGCTTGTTACCAAAGGGGATTTGCAAATCGTTGCCTTTTTTAACTCGAATTGCACTTGCTCTTTGGCAACTTTGTTGGAACATCTCTGCCAGAAAATAAATTGTAATTTGAAAACGTACGTACCTAGTTTTTGTGCTGTGGTAACTTTGCTCAAAAAAAGCACCCACTAAAAAAATAAAAAGTGATTTGTTAAGAATATCAATACAATTTGTTATCTAATTTACGGTTGTGCTTTGGAGCCTGCAGGGTCTTTATGATATTTTCTAATTCATAATTCCCCTGTTGATTGCAGAGCAAAATGCACGTGAGTTCTTTACAGGAAATTAATTAAAATTAAAGCACACCTTTTTTAGTTTGTTACCAGTTTGGATTTTTGAAACGTTGTTTTTTTAATCCGTTTAAAAATGTGTAAATTAATAATAATATAAATTTGTTAGTGGTCGGACGACAGTGTTGAATTTTAATTCATATTCCTGCTTTAAGGCAACCTTGGCTGTGCGATACTTCTATTCTCACAGTCTTGTTTGCCTTATATCAAGAAACTATGGAGTCGTGATGTAAACGAAAAAGACTTGGTGTGATTTTTCAATAATAAAGAAGTAAGCCTTCAACTTTAAAGTAAGAGTGAATACGGACTTAACCTACATTTTCCGCTTGTTACCAGGTCAGATTTGCGAAACGTTGCCTTTTTTAACTCGTATCGCAGGTTTTACCTGGAAACTTAGCTTGGAAAAAACTCGTACCTATATTTGAAGAACATTTAAAAAAACAACAGTGTTTTCATGTTAAAGAAATAATTTTCCCTTTCCCAAACCAAATTCACATGCATGCTATTTGGTGTTCAAATGATTTATTTTATTGTTCAATTCATAAAGCTATTGTCTACCAAACAGCCAGGTGTGAGCAGTCGTCAAAAAAGTTTTAAACTCACAGTTTCAGTTTGTTGCCAGGTCAGATTTGTGAAAAGTTGCATTTTTTAATTCGAGCGACGGTCTTTAGCACGGAAATTAATTACTAGTGCTCCCGAAATGAATAGTGAATAAGGTGATCAAAACTATCCCAATCTATTTTCGGGAGTTTAATTTAAATTTCATTTGGTTGACCTTAGCCAGGGAAACCCTGCATGTGTGACTTTTTGTATCCATCTGCAGCCTTTTCCTGACTAAGGTCAATGTGAGTAATCGTCAAAGAAGTTACCAAATTTCCAGCTTGTAACCAAAGGAGATTTGCAAAACGTTGCCTTTTTTAACTCGAATTGTACTTCCCCTTTGGCCACTTGGCTGGAACATCTCTACCAGAAAATAAATTTTATTTTGAAAATTATAAGTGATAGATCTGAGTACCAGATTCGATTCAGCTTTCAAGTTTGTAAGCACAACTCAGATCCTAGGAAGAAAGTTTTTGCATATTTTCATATTCGTGCTTTATGGCAAACAGAGGATTTATGTTATTTTCCAAATCATAAAGCTCTTGTATGCCATACAGCAAACATGTGAGCAGGAGACAAAGAACAATGAATGCGATCTAACGCCCAAATTTTAAGTTTGTTAGCAGGTCAGATTTCTGAAACGTACGTTGCCTTTTTTATTTCGTATCATGATCTGTACCTGGCAACTTTACTTGAAATATACCTCAGTTTATAAAATTAAGAAAATAATAATAATAAATGTAGCTGTATCGTATTCGATTCGGGTTCAATGTTGATTTCTATTGCATAATCTTGACCTTCGGCACACAAGGAATGTATGATATTTTTATTCTCATGCATGCTTTGTGTGTCGTACTTCAAGATGTGACTAATCGACTAACTCCCAATTAAGTTATCCCCAGTTTTAAGTTTGCTACTAGGTCAGATGTGTGAAACGTAAACCCTTTTAACTCGTATCACAGTTCTGACCTGGCAACTTTGCTTAAACAGATTCCTCCGTTTAAAGAAGTAAGAAAATAATTAATTGTGCTCCCGAAATGAATGGGGAATAATGTGTTCAAAACAATGCAACTCATTCGATGTGTGGTTCAATTTTATTTGCTTGTTACCTGGTCAGATTCGTGAAACGTTCCATTTTTAAGTCGTATCAGAGTTTTGTACATGGAAACTTTGCTTGAAAAATTCCTCCAGTTTTAAAAAGAAAGAAAACAGTTAATTGCGATCCCTATACTAATAGTGAATAAGGTGATCAAAACCATCCCAATCGATGTTCGAGTGATAAACGTGTTTAATTTTAATTTATATTTTATTTGAATGATCTTAGCCAGGGAAACCCGGCATGTGTGACCTTTTTTTTATCCATCTGCAGCCTTTTTCTGATTAAGATCAAGGTGAGTAACCGTGAAAGAAGTTACCAAATTTCCAGAGCTTGTTACCAAAGGGGATTTGCAAATCGTTGCCTTTTTTAACTCGAATTGCACTTCCCCTTTGGCAACTTAGCTGGAACATCTCTACCAGA